CAAATAGATTCTATATATGGTTTCTATGAGAGGTCAGTAATGAATGATAATTTATTAAAAAAGTAACAATGTTACTTTTTTAATAAATTTTGTTACTTAAAAAAAAAAAATTAGACAGCGTTTGTAGTCCTGTGTTCCATACTCGTTAAACCTTGAGTACTTTAATAAAGCTATTTATATTCCTACTTTTTGAAAACCGTGTTGTGCTTTAAAAAGACCCGACACGTAGAGAACTAAATAAGCACACACGGGATGTTTACTTGTAACACTATTATTTTTTCAAAGTTGTTGTTGGTTAGTCTGCTATGCAAAAAAAAAGCCAAAAGTTGCAATTTGCAAAGTTTTAGTCTGATGTGAAAACAAAAAAGATTTATACAAGTACTTGGTCTAAACTATATAATTTAAACGTTAATACCAGATGTGGACAACTTGCAGTTGATGCGGCTCGTTAGCTCCATGTACAAATATTAATACAATATTGAAATAAAGATTTGGTAGATGATTTGAAAATTGATTTGAAATGAAGGAATTGGTAACTCTTTAAAAATTTTGTTTTTGAAGTGTTACCAATATCTTTATTTTAATATTATATTAATATTTGAGCATGGAGCTAAAGAGGCGCATCTTGACATCAAAAGAACCACACGAGGTTTTCAAGCCGCAGATTGCTGACCCCTGATATAAATGTTTAGATAATATAATGTAGACCATGTACTTACATAAATCTTTTTTGTTTGCACATCAAACTAAAACTTTGTAAATTTCAACTTTTGGCTTTTCTGTTTTAATAGGTTGCTGACCTCTGGTTTATACAACTTGTTAAATGCATTTTTCGTTATACTAAGCTCCCCAGACTAAACACACCAGACTAAAAAAAGACCAAGGTTATCATTTCCGTATAAAATATTAGAGTTACGTTACGTTTGAATCGGTTACAATTGGTAACAAGTTTAAATTCACTTATTTTTAATTTAATATTTATTAAATAAACTTGATAACGCATTAAATGTTTGTTTGTCGTTTACATATTGCTATTCATCTAGTTTTATTCATTTTTTATTTTAAAATAGCTATGTCTTAATTGGTTATTTTTGTCACAAATAAAAGTATTTTAATTTGCAACATTACGTCTCAAATGGTAACAGTTTTAAAATCCGAATGGTTTACAAAAGTGTAACCAATTGAGAGGTAGTTTAACGTAAAAATAACGATAGGACTCAAATATAGATTTTCTTACGTAACATTACGTCTCAATTAATGTCTTAATCTGAGACGTAATATTACGTCTACTCTTTATATAGAGAGAAATTAATTGAGACCTATTTACATCTCAATTGACGTGTCAATTTGAAATGTAAATAGGTCTCAGGAAATGTAAAAAAATCAATTGGGATGTAATTAAAACAAATTTTAGTACGTAATTGTACAGCCACGTACTAACTAAATTTTTAATATTTCTTTAATCTAATTATATTAATAAATTTGTTAGTATAAAACATAAATAGCATGTCGTTTATGTTTTACACTTTAAATATATATTTGAACACTTTTCAAGTAATGCGCTGACATTTGACAAGATGAAATGATAGTACAGTTATTTCAGTACTGTGAAGATGAGCTCGGAAATCAACTTATGAAAAAGAACTATGGATAAAAATTAATAATAATGAAGTGTTTTTAAAAGCAGTGAAAAAACTGGCTTTTATCCCAGTGTAAGCAGTGCTGCACTTCTTTAAATGAGACAGGTTCATGGCAAAAATATTTGGTTCTTTTATACAAAAATGAAGGGAAATACAAAGTTTTGCTAAAATTTCAGAAACCACCTTTCAGTCGCAAGAAACTGAAGTTATAACTTGAACACCTTAATGTGCATGTTTTAATCAATATTACTATAATATATTATATATATAATATATTATAGTAATATTTATATAAATATATAAATATATAAACGAGTATAATATATTCGTTACAATTTAAAGAGGACGGAATTTTTTTGAATCAGAATCTGGAAAGCCGATGACGTTAGACGAATTAAAAATATAACTCAGAGAAATATGTTTATATTCATTAATAATCAAAAGTATGAAAAGGGATGAAGAAGTATGACATAATTTTTTTTTACAGTATCTAATATTATAGATGTTATAGTTACATATAATATACATGCATTATATTGTTACTGTTGTTGATATTTATCATTACTTTATTTAAAGAAAACTAACATTGTTAAAGATATAAATATATAATCTGGAACAATAACTAACTTTTATTTAATTGTCTTCCTTTTTTTGTTGGCAAACTGGATTACAGTTTTTTTGTTGACAAACTGGATTACAGTTTTAAAAGAAGGTTTTAATTTATTGCAAGAAGAAAAAGATTATAATCAAAATCAAATTACTTCATTAAATGACACAGTACTAATAGCTAAAATATTTTAGTGAATTGTTAAAAGAATTACAAAATAGTGGTGTTAATTTGGCTAACTACAATTATGGTTAATAACAATTTAAAATAAATAGATATTTGAATAAATGTTATTTTTATGGAAATTTATAAGAAAATTTTTTTGACTTTTAAAACCGACTCCAAGAATACCCTAAAATTTGTTTTTAAAAACCTTTAAACCTGTCAATAGTTCTAGACTTCAAATTTGTTAATAAAAGTATAAAACTTAATAATTTAATTGATTTTTTGAGATAGATAAAAACACTTTTTGGAAGAAATATAAATTTTTGGATGGTAAAAATGGTAGTTTGATAGCCTCCCTAGCCCCCTGGATACGCTCGGTGTTTAAAGTACTTTGTGTTAGGTGTTTAAAGTACTAAATTTGTGATCTACTGTTACACCTATCATTTGGAACTGAAGAAATTTAAATAATAATTAACAAAAATACAACAATTTAAGTTGCAAAAAACTAAACTTTTATACCATTTTTACGGTTTCTAGTGACGAGCTGTTTAAACGTGTTTACATGGTTAATAACTTTAAAAAAAATTTAAAAAATTGCGGTTTTTAATTTGGTTTTAAGAGTTTCACGTGCCAATTGACTGTTAAAAGTGGTTTAAATAATTAATTTTTAAACCATTAAAAATTAAGTAATAATGACATATGCTCTTCATATTTAATATGTCGGTATCTGCTGAAATTTCAATAAATGGAATATTTTAATTTTTTGGGAGCAATCTTGAAAATACTAAAATGGTGATACCATTCTCGGAAGTCGCTAAACCATCTTTACACAAAATGTTTTTCTGAAACATTTTTTAACTTAATTGATAGTTTCGTGTTTTTTTAAACAAAAACTATTTTAATAAAAGATGAAATAAATAAGTTTTTTTATATATATATATTTAAAAAATATATACTTAAATTAATGCGATAAGAGTTTTAAATTGCCTATGCGTTTTTCTTAACATAATTAAACAACACTCGGTGTACTTAAGGTAATTTTAAAATATAGCGTCTGTATGTTATTTTATTGACAGCGACATATTTCCGTTAAATGATCAGGTCTGTGAATTATGAAAAGACGAAAAAAATTGAAATCATAAATTTTGCGGTATCATAAAATATAAATGTTTATAGCGAAAAAACCCAGACCGAACAATCTTTTTTTTTTTAAAAAAAATCATCTTAAATCCCAATCGCTTGACTAAATTTAAAAAAGATTTTCAATAAATACGTTTTTTAGGTAAAATAAACATCACAGTTTAAAAAAAAAATATATATATATATATATATATCTATATATATATATATATATATATATATATATATATATATATATATATCTATATATATATATATATATATATATATATATATATATATATATATATATATATATATATATATATATATATATATATATATATATATATATATATATATATATATATATATATATATATATATGTCAGAACCAATTAGAACTAGAATCGATAGTAAATTGAGGAACTTTTTCAAAAGATTTTAACTAAATTCATGTTAACACCGATGAGCAGAGTTAATCTAAAGACTCCAAAAGGGATTAGAAAATTTTATATAAAAAAGAAAAGGTTTTTCAAAGATTAAAAAAACCTGAAGCAAAAATAAAATTATAAAATCTAAAGCTTTTGTTTGGACATAATACGCTTATAAAATAATGCTAATTTCAAATAAAAGAATTCGAATAAATTGTAAATTGCCTTAACTACACCGAGCACGCTTATCAATAAACACAAGGTAAAGGTCGTAACTAAAGGGGATCTGGATGAACCTGGTTTTGCAAATTTCCGCCAAAAAAAAAAAAATTAATGCATTGTTTTTTCAATTTTGTTAACTCAAACCTTTGAACAATAAAAATTAAAATTTTTTAGATTTAAGTTACAGAAAAATATTTAGTATTGTTAATATATTAAAATCTTTTACTATGTTTTGTTTTTATTCAAGAAGCAATTAAAAACCACTGCTATTTTAGGACTTTAAACTAAGCTATTTCAATCAAAAGCGCTGGGTAATTTGAGCATGCTCATATTACACAAAAATGGTATCTTTAAATAAAGTCAAAAATAAATGTTTCTATCATTATTTTTCAAACAAAAATGAATTGGATTTTTAGCTAATATATTTTTCTGTATGAAAAAATTAATTTCATTATTTTAGCACAAAAATATCGCGCTACAGAATTATTCACGCGTGATGATTTTTTTTAACAAAGCAAAAAATCCGCTAATTACTGCGTATAAATTTACGCTAATTGTACTGATTCCTGTTATCACCACATAAAGTCGATTCGAAAAACATAAAGCAACTTTAATTTCACTGCTTACATCTAATAAATCTTTAAGTATGCTCATATTACCAAGGTGCTCATATTACCCTAATCTACCCTATGTTATAAAATTTCGAACATTTACGCATCATAACAATAATAATCTTCATTATCATGATGGCATAATTTTTTTTTTTTAATACTTTTCATGGTGAATAAAAATCATAAAAAGAAATAAGTTTACCTTGTTCTATCAATAAGAGAATAAGCTTGATGTTAACCTAAAAAAAATAGCCTTTAATTAGTAATTACATTATAAAAGTCATTAATTTAAAAATATATAAAAAAATTTACATCAACTTTGTTTAAAAAAGTTAATTCTTTTTCAATGATAGAAATCAGGATTTTCTTTTTTTTATATTTGGATGAAGGAAAATTAAAACAAAAAATGGTCAGCGTACTTTTTAAGCAATATTGGTCAGCGTACTTTTTGAAAATTTACAAACTAAATAATACCAATAAAAAAAAATGGAGAGAGGGATGGAGGGAATATAGGGATTTGGTTCCTTACATAGCGTAAAACATTGACTTCTTCTCTCTTTTAGAGAAAGCATAATAGAAAAAATTTCTATGTAATGTTTATCTAATCCGAAACTTCTTTTGCACCCACTTGCGTACACAGACATAATATACAGTTTTCAATTTCAGTTTACACTTAAAACGTGTGCTCAAAGTGAGGCTGGATGCTATCCCATCACCTTTTCATAAAGTATAAACCATCCCGCCGTCTTTTTACAAGTCTCCTAAAATAAAAAGGATTAGACGGGATGGCATATTTAATTTACTAAAAATCGTCCCGTTAATTTCTTTTCTTCATTTCGAGGATTGCTTAAAATTGAAATTTGAATTTTTTAATTTTATTTTAGGTGTCCCAAGAAGTCCTTACAGTCTTATCACAGAGCACCACGGATTAGCATTTAATTAGAAGTTCACGCCTCCTTCCTAACCGATGTCGCTTAACTTGTCCAGAGGTGGGGTTTAAACCATGGACATTTCAGTCGGGTGAATTTTAGTTTTGAGGACTTTTATTTTTTTAGTAGGAGCAAGTCGTTACATTTTAAGGATTTATCAATTACTCACTCACACTCTGCCTCCCCTCTTCCTTTCTCTTTTACCGCCACCCCTCATTCCCAGATTTTATTTGAAGAACGGTCTCAGACGGAGTCCTAATAAGATTCTTATTAAGTCTTATAAAGTTAATACTTTAAAGTCTTATTATAGACCTCAAAAATTTTTAAAGTAAAAGTGTAAACATTATAAAAATAAAAAACAAAACCTTTTTGATAGTTTTTCAAGTAATGTAAGGTGATGCAAAAAAACTTTTAATTATATCTTTTGTAATGTTAAATAATATAACATTTATGGATAGTTAGTCCAAAAAAATTAGATTAACACTATCAATAAAATTAAATAAAAAGCTATAAATAAAAAGTAAAAATCGTTATAATAATAGCAATAACAGTAATAACAATTTCTCCTCTTTGAGCTCTACCTTTCCCCTCATTGATATACCTACTTTTTTTAAGTATCCCCTTAAACACAACGGAATTCATAAAAAAGTTCAATAAATTATTTGAATAATAAATATTATGGGTAAGTAATATATTTGTTGTAACAGTAAGTTGCTAACAGCAAATGTAACTGCTATTGTTGATAGTGTATATGCAACAATTAAAAATGCATTTGAAATAGTTATTTTTGTATATGAAAATAATAAAAATTACAATAAAAATAAATAAAAATAAGCTTTAAAAATATATATATACTATTTAATATTTAAAAAATTACCATTTTCTTTTTATTTCCATAAAAGTTTTTTAAAAGTATAAATTGTCAAATGTTAAGTATATTTTCTTGATATTTACGAAAGAAAAATCAATGATATATATAAACTTCATAGCCAACCACCAGATGTTCTTTTTCATAACTTAAATTAAAGTTCATATTTTAAAACATTTTTCCCTACTATAAATGCACACCTGTAGCGATAAACAATTAAAAAACAATCTAGTTTCATTATAAAAACCATCTCTATTACAGTATTAGTAATAAATTAAAATTTTCGCCAATGAATATTCAATGAATTAGTTGATAAATTCCGTTGCATTTTCAAATAATTAAAATTGATTAATTATTGATTGATTGAAAGACTTTTAAAATCGGAGTCTATATTGTTTACACAATTAGTTTAATTTATTTACTTTTATAATATTTATATACTCTAATTAGATTTATACAACAAATAGAATTTTTTCAATGGAAGTTTTTCCTAAAATTTACGACAGTATTTTTCCAAAAACCACGTTTTTGTTCCAAATTTTTCCAATAACAAAAATGTTGTTTTAACAATTTTTAAAACAAAAATTGAAATAAACTGCTCAATAATATCAATGCAGTTATCTTTTTTAGCTCAGCTATTATTAAGGTTACTATTATTGTTAATAATTTATCACTGTTTAAAAATAGTACAAAATTTCTTTATTAAAGGGTTGGGGGTACCCGATATCTATCCATAATACAAAGTTATGTACAGACAATGGAAACACAATTTCAAAAAATATAGTATGTTTAAACTTTATATTTCATAATATTAAGTATTAAAAATGTACTTTGTTGCCATAGTACCCATGATTTATTGAAAAAATAAGTCAAAAAGAGTTCATGCCCCGGCTAACTTATCCGGAAAATGGCATTTATTCAAACTATTACATATTACAAACTATTGCGTTTCCTTGTAATTTTAAACTGTGATCTGAATCTACAAAATTTTGAAAAAAATATCAAGAGACAAAAATATATTGTCGTTATAAGAATCTTGGTCAATTAGCAATTAAAAAAGAAAGTACTTTGTCAAGATACTTTTATAAAAAGTGGAGGTTAACATAGAATGTAAAATCAAAATATTTATCATAAATTTTTTCATTAAAAACAAAGCGGTTTCAAAGTTAAAGTAGCCGGGGCATTTAAAAACTTTATTAAAAATTTGTTCATAAAATTATAATATATAATTTATGTTTAAAATAAAGATTCAGAATCTTTATTTTAAACATAAGTTAATCAGACTCAGGACCATACAGAGTTTTTTTATTTGTCTATTCAATCTTTTGCCGCTTCTCGGATGACACTTGATTTTTATATCCAGCTAAATAAAGACGTTTTTGATTGTCGCAACAATATAACGTATATTTACCATGTGTCACGGTTAACTATTTATAAATGTTTCCCAGGTGTCATAGTTAACTATTTATACACCAAAATAGATTTTTTTCTTCCAATATTAAAGTTTGCGTCGTGTATTTTAAGTTTTAATTGCGTCAAGACGACATATTTTGCTTTCGGGGTTTGGTCTTATATCATTGCATCAAGCCTTTTTTTTTTTTTTTTTTGATTTTGTAGTTGGCCATATAAAAATTGAATTAACAAAGATTCCACACTCAAATCATTATATTTGGTTTTAAATATTTTATAACTGATAAAAGAAGCTCTGCACCTTATTTGAGTATTGATTTTTGTGTTGCTTTTTCTTTCTGATAATTGCAACAAATGTTTTCACCAATTGGACAGTGAGTGTGTCAGTTATTTTCTTATGATGAGTTAATATGAAAAAGTGTAGTATGAACGTATTTCTTTATTCCTTGTGGTTTGTTGTTATTACTTATTACTGCAATCCAAAAATAATTTTGAATTTATCAATAAGACTGTTTCTTAACTTTTCAAGATCACAGAAATTTTTCATATTTTTATCTTTTAAAAGTGTTTTGACTCGTTTCTGAATACTCCCTGAATACACATTTTAATTTTTTAAATAATAAATAACAGAGCCGTGGCTAGGCTCCCCCACACCCCCTAATTGTGTAGGGGCCCAGCATTTTTGGAGCCCTTTTCAAAAATTTAAAAAAAAAATTTGTATTTTTTATAATAAAAATATTTAAATATATATAATTACTGTTACTATTAATAAAAAAACTTGGTCTTTTAGTCACCTAATATTACCTAATTTATACAAGCGTAAAAAAAGCAATATTATTTTTAATGCAAAAAAAAAAAAAAAAAAAAAGGAATTAACACTCCCGAGGTCCGAATTATATTATAAAACGCAAGCTTTATAAATTTATTATTTTCATTTTGCAATTTCGAATTGATTTTTTTTATTATTGTTATGCGTTGTTAGTTTTTTGTATCATAAAAAACAAACAATGAAATAGGGTTTGCAAAAATTTATATTTATCTTTCGTTAGTTTTTCACATTATAAATATTGGTATGAAAAAAGTGAAAAGTAGTGCGACTAAGAGAATAGAAAAAGCTGCAGCCAGGGAGGAAATCACAAAATATCCAAAACTAACACATTTTTTAAAACCAGCAGTTAAGCCTGGAAGTGTTTCGATACCATCAGAAACTACAAATAATTCTGATTGTCATTATTTGAATACTAGAGTCAGATAGGTTGATATGTGATATGTGAGTCTACATCAAATGGCATAACAATTTTATCTATTTCTCTCAGTGATGATCTTTCTGAGTTGCCTGATGATGTTTCTGACGCACAGAGGAGTGATATTGTTAAACGTGGTTTTAAAAAGATTGAAATTGATTTTCCAGACAATTTAGAAAGAAGACGATTTTCACTGAACTATTATAACAGCAAGGTGAAATCTTTGAACGGACATGGCTCGTATATTTTTTGAACAGCAATAAAGTGTTTGGTTTTTGTTGCAAACTTTTTGGGATAACTGCTTCACTAATCCGACAAGTAATGAACACTTGGGAAGGCTTATCGAAAAAAATTTAAAGAACAAGAAACATGATGTGCACATTTTAAGTACTTTGAACACTGGATGACTTAACGAAAAAGTTAACTCATATTTCTTTAATTTATTGCTCTGTTATTTTTTTTTCCTTATTAATTTTTTCCCCTCAATTTTGAGGGAAAATAATATAAAAGGAAATTAAAAGGTACCATAGACGAGCAACTTTTGTTGTTGCTCGTCTATGGTAGCTTGATTTGCAATGCAAACATTGCAAATCAACCATAGACGAGCAACAACAAAAGTTGCTTGTCTATGCAGTACAGTGTTAAAAAGGATACTGGACATTACCTTATTTTTTTCTGCAAGAAATCTTGAATTCCGTGGTTCAGACACAGCCTTTGGTTCAAAGAGCAATGGAACTTTCTTGGGGTGTTTGAATTACTGGCTAAGTACGATACCGTTCTCAATGAGCTTATGCAAAGAATTTAGGACAAAGAAACCAAAGAGCACTATTTGAGCAATGAAACACAGAACGAGGTTTTAGGAGGAGATTGAATCCAAAAACCTGCTCAAGGTAAAAAAAGCAAATAATTATTCTATTTTTTTAGATTGTACGCCATGCATTTTGCATAAAGAACAAATGAGCATTAGTCATCTATCAGTGCAGTTGTTTTTAGGTGTTCTTTCAAGGTTATATACACTCTTTTCATTTTCTCCTCCTCGATGGCGAATTTTAAAATTGTGCGTGGCTATTTCTGTCTAACCACAATCAAATACCAGATATGAATGTAGAATAAACTGTGTTAAACCACTTAACTGTTATTTAAAAGAAATCTTAGAGGCACTCGAAAGTTTGGAATAACATGGCTTAAAAAAGAGATAGGGCTACAGCCACAGAATTACGATTGCTCACGGAATATATTAGAACATAGCCTTTTTTATTATCAATCATTACTTGGTATGATGTTTTATTTCTAATCAACAAATCAAGTAAGGTTTTTCAGTCTTCTGCAACCTCTCTTGACATATTAGCTAGTGAAATAAAGGCAACAAATGCATTTCTTTATGAGTATTGCAAAAATGGATTTTCCGACACACGTATTAAGGCATTAGAAATCGCAGAAGTATTGGACATTGAAAAGTTTTTATCAATAGAACGTTTACGAAAAATAAAATGTCGATTTATTGATACGAGTGTATTGATCACACTCGGCAACTTGAATATCAGTATAAAGCTTTTTTTTTCCAATTAATTGATATGTCAATTACATCAGTAAAAAAGCGTTTTGAACAGATTAGCATTATCACAAAGCTTAATGACTTTCTTTACCAATCTAAAAGTCTTATCAAAGCCTGAAATGAAAATTCTTTGTCTATAAATTGCAAAAGTTTGCAAATGAAGCTTGGTGATATAGACTTGGAGGATTTAGAAATGGATTTAAAACGATTTGTCATAGTAAACAAGGTGGAAAAAAATGCCTCAAAAAAGAGCTGCAAGAAACTTATCCCAATCTAGTTGTTGCATTACGAATCATTCTTACTTTATCAGTTACTGTTGCAAGTGTAGAACGTAGCTTTAGCAAGTTAAAATTAATTAAAACTTTTCATAGGTTAGTATAAACATGGACGTATAAGAGATGGACGTGCAACTTATTGTTGTTTTTGCGAACTATGCTCAATAATTAGGCGTCTCTATTGTTACAAATCTATTGTTTCAAACAAAAGAAAAAAGTTATGATTCTATATGTCGATTTTTTAACGATTTATTGAACTTGTTTAGTCAGTCTAAATTATGGCTTTTCATAATATTGTCATGAACAGTCAGGGCAGTACTTTAGTTGTTATAACATTAGCATTGTTCGTAAACGTTCACAATTTTATGTAAAAGTTGTGTGTTAAAATGTAGTTCTTTGTGATTTTATAATAAAAAACTAACTTTTAAAGCAAACAGCAAGTATGCAATTACGATGTTATCATCATAGTTATTTTAGTAGTTAAGAAGTAATACAATTACATCTTTTAATAATTTTAATTTAAAACTACATCTTTTAATAATGATCTTGTTAAAACAATCTTTTTGTAGTTAATTTTATCTAAATAAACTAAGGTAATTTGGTTAATTGTAGCCTAGTTTTGAAAGCAAACTGTTTGTTATAAAAGTTAAGAATAAAATTAGTATTAATATAATTAAAACAGTTTGTATCACGTTAGGATGATTAAATTAATTTCAACCGGGATTTTTTTTCAATTAACATAACGTATAATAAAAGAAGGCAAAAAAAAGCGGCATGTCGGAGAAAACAAAAAAATATATTAAAGTTGAAACATAATGAGCAAAGAATTTTGACTCTGAATGGTAAGAATACTAACTGAAATATAAAATATAAAACTTGACTAAAATATCCAATCCATACATCTTAAAAAGCTCTCTCTGTATGTTAATTTTATTGCTAACATTTACTTAAAAACAGGAGGTATTTGTCTAAGTATTATAAAAAATCTGTTCTTATATCTTTGTATTTGTAATAAACATCATTTATTTATGTTTGATTTGAACAATAATTTGCAAGCACACAAATGATTCATTTTTTACAAAAATCACTTTACAGAATCGTCTATTAAATCCTTACTAAAAATCTTTGATTGGCAGCCATTTTTAATACTTTTTTGCTAATGACGGAAAAATTTGATAAGATCGTGAAAACGCATGGCTCACTAATTTTGGCGGTTTCTTTGATGTAAAACAAAAGGTTGCACGTCCATCTCTTATACGTCCATGGTATAAATAATCTTGCTTAATTACACATAAATACATGTAGCTATATTTCTTTGTATCTTTAAATAGGTCAACAATGGTCCATGAACGTTTGTCTTCTTTAGCAACGCTGTCGATTGAAATCAAGGTTGCAAGGAAATTAAGTTATGAAGCATAATAAATGAGTTTGCAAGCATGAAATAGTCTCAAACCCTTTTTTTAATAGTTTGCGACGTACTTGTATTATCTGCGTAATACATCAGCTGTATTTAAAAAAAACTCTTTACTAGTAAACTCTATATCAATTTAACAATTATAAAATATATTTAATTGAATTTAAGCGTTAATTTGTTTTTAGTCTTATGAACGGCGACGTTAAAATATTTCAGGTACCATGCTTTTTGGGGTAGTCTGTAAATTTTATCCACTTTTTTAGAAAAAATAAATAAAAAATTAGGCACTGATCAATAACATGATAAGTAGATTTTACGGCTGAATAGTTTTTACTCTCACCATCTCAATAAAATGTAATATGCTACAACCCATATTCCCCGACACTTCAATACTTCTTTTGTATTAATGTATTTTACATTACGGCTATGAGATTTGTAACAAAGGCTCAACATCTAAAACTTTTCCATTTTCAAATTGTTAATGTTGTCACTACTCTGTTGCAACTACGTCGTCGCTATCCTCTGTATAGCCTTGTGATTTTAATGATAAACTACAACATTTCTTATCGCTCATTTTCTATATAATGCCTTCATAAAGTTACAATAACGTAAATATAGTTTTAATTAAGATCTCCATCTCGGAGCATATTCTTACATCTTCCTCTTCTTCTGTAAATGAAATGTTTTACTGTCTGTGTTTTATAATGTTTTGATACTTCCTCCATAATTCTATAGGACGTCTTTCTCTGTTAGGATATGTCTTTAGAATCGGTTCTTGATGATAGCTTCTTAGTTGTGTCGGCATAGTAGCTGTTATTTCCTTTTCTGGCAAAATTGATTCGTTCTGGAGGTATTCTTTATCTTTCTCTTCTTTAATTGGTATCGGATTAAATTGTATATCCGTTGGTACTTTCTCCATGTGTAAAGCATTTCGAGTTTTTTGAGAATTGTTGACGGGAGATTTTGCAGTGATCATTGTACCATTCTTTGCAGTAATTGTGTAGGATTTGAACTCAAATGGTGCCGCAATTTTGCGGGGTGATTCGTTTATGTTGAATGTTCAGTTTGTTCAAAAACATCTTTATTTTGAATGAAGTAAGAGGTGGTCCATTATCGCTGACAATCGTTTTCGGTATTCCATATACTGCAGTCGTTTTCTGTAGAAAATCAATAAGGAGGTCAGCAGATGTATTATGAATAATATCGACAACCGGAAATTTTGATGTTTGGTCTATAAGGACTACCAAATAAAATCCATTAGGTAAAGGACCGAGGTAATCTATATTAACGGTGTCCCAAACTTCCTCTGGTGTTGGTGTAATTAATAGTTTGGCTGGTGCATTTTGTTTACCAAGGGCTTGACAAATTGCACATCGTTTTATATATTCTTCTACTTTAGTGTCTAGACCAGGAAAGTAAACTTTTTCTATAAGTAATGATTTGGTTTTCTCATATCCCATGTGACTATTATGAGCAAACTGTATAACCGTAATTTTCAGAGAATGTGGAAGTACAATTCGATTTGCTTTTAGAATAAGGTCTGAAGTCTGATTTACTGTAAGGTCTTGGCGTATATTACGGTAAGCAAGTAAGTCTTTTTGAAATTTTTTTAGTTCTGGCGGACAATTCGGATGTAAAAGTTTATGCCAGGTATTAGTAGTAATTAACTCTGTAAGTATTTGTAGAATAGGATCGGCTTTGGTTTCTCTTTGAATATCCAGTAAAGAAAAGGCTTTAGGACATGCGTATACAGCTGTAAAATTGACATATTTTTCTAGCCCTTCGTTCTCACAAGGGTCTACAGGGAGTCGACTAGAATAATCAGATATATTATTTTTTTCTTTTACGTACTGTAGATCAAAAGAATATCCCTGTAATCGTAAAGTCATACGCTCATTGCGAAGTGGTACTGTAGCGTTTGGGTTGTTTAAAATCTTTACAATAGTTTCATGGTCGCTGTACATTTTAAAATTTGGTTTGACTTTCTATCACGACATTGATCTGTCCTTCTATTTTGAGATTTGGATTGTTATCCCCGTAAGTAATAATCTGTGTTTTAGATTTTTGTAGTCGAAGTGGTCTTTTAAGGAAGTTGTTTATCTTTTCAAATGTTTTAAAGTTTAGAATGTTTATCGAAGCTCCGGTGTCTATTAGAACGGTTATAGGTATATTTTCTATGTTAATCGTTACCTCGAAGTTCTCAAGTCCGTCGTTAAATATCTGTTTAGCATTGACAGAGTACAATTCTTCTTCGTTTAACTTTGACTGAGGATTTTCGGATTCATTGATATCTTTGTAAATTGTATTTACAAAGATATGGTTTTGTATAACCTTGTTCATTTCTTTAGTATTTCTCTTGATGTATTCTTGTATTCTGTTCGTTTTGTTTTCTAGTTTTACAGACTGTTGCAAAATGTCCGATTTTCCTGCAGGAGTGGCAAGATTTCCCCAAAGCTAAACATATATTCGTGTGTGGAAATTCGTTTCCGCATCGGTTAACTTAGTTTCTGTCTCATGAAACTTAGTTTCTGTCTTATGTGGCGCTTGTCTGGTTTGTGGAAATTTTGTTTTCTTTACTGTATTTACTTCTTTTTGTTTTATCGTTTCTTTCTCAAGTTCTTTTATTTGATGGTCCATCAGCTCAAATGTTTTGGCAGTAGTTAACAAGTCCTATAGAGTTTTGTTAGGATTTTGGGAACTGTATTTCCGTAGTTTTGAAATATTTGTGCTAAGCTCAATTTGTTGTTTAATTTCTTTATCCTTATCAGCAAACTCGCATTTGATAGCTTGTTCGTTTAAGCGAACGAAAAACGGCTGAGTGGTTTCGTCTATACGTTGAGCCATCTTGCGAAAAATAAAGATTTCATAGCTCAGGTTTACTTGGGGCTTGAAATGTTTGTTAAAAGCTTCGACAGCTTGTTAGTATGTGATTAGCGTATCTTGAGGTATAATGTTTTCATAAATTTCGTAAGTGTTGTCTCCAATTAAAGTTAGAAGTAACGAAAGTTTTTGTTTATCGTAATTACAAGTGAATCGCAAAGTAGCTCAAAATGTTTAATGTTTCCAGCTTGAAAATAACTTACTTGCTTCTTCAGTACATGAAAACAGTGGAAAGTTTGGTAAATTAAGGTTTTTTTATAGCCATGGATAAATACGCTTTTTACTAAAATCTTTGTTATTTTTTTTTTTTTTAATTTAAATTTCTTTTCTTTTATCTTCGTCGCCAATTTAATGATAAACTACAACATTTCTTATAGCTTATTTTCTATATAATGCCTTCATAAAGTTACAACAACGTAAATATAGTTTTAATTAAGATCTCCATCTCGGAGCACATTCTTACAGTGATATCAGTCGAAACTCTAGAATGAACAATGCCTTTTATTTTTTTTTGCTTCCTCATACATTATTTTTACAGAACCACATTAATTGATTTTACTAGTAGGACTTGGAAGGTTCATTAAGGTTCAATGTAAAGTAAAGTGCGATAGATAGAGACAATCAAGTCAAAATCAAGAGCAGCCGTTGCGCAGTGATTAGAGTTCTGGCTCAGAACCCAGAGGTCCGAGGTTCGACGCCAGCTCTAGCCCAAGAAGCGACATTGGTACGGAAGGAGGCGTGAACTTCCTGTTAAATGCTCTCCCGCGGTGCTCTATGATAAGACCGCAAGGACTTCTGGGAGCACCTAAATACATACACAAAAAAAAAAAAAAAAAAAAAAAAAAAAAAAGTCAAATTAAGCTAAACAGAGTTGATAATTAAAAAAAAAAAAGTAGATAAGTCCCTGACAGAACACCGCACAAAGCGGCGCATTTCTACTAAAAAACAAAAAATATTAAAATTATTTGTATTAAAATTTTTACCTTCCCCCCTCCCCCTGTTATTTTCGCTGTTTTATCAATTTTTAATCAAGATATATATAAAAGAAAAAAAAAAGTAATGTTCGTAGAATGAACACAATATAAATTTGTCACTAAGCACTATTTTGTATATAAAATATAAACCTTTTTTACAATCTTTATAAGATAAAGAATTAAATAGACCGGGCTCAAAGAAGATGAAAATAATAATACATCATTTTGGCCTTTTCATAGTGCCTGTATACAAATTTTGAACAAAATATAGTAATTAAATAAATATTAACAATATTAATTTGCATAAAAGTAATGTACTGAAATAAATTAAAGAAAAAAATATATTTTTTTTAAGCGCGAACGTTTCCCAAGTTAGACTTTTTTTTATCAGAAACTTATATGAGCTTAACAATCTTGCCATGCCTTGAAACGTTTTTGATAGATATGCTATGTTAAATTCCGTATACCAAAGCAATTTATTAAATTTCCAAAGCACAAAAAAATCTTCAAAACTAAAACAAAAGTTATATAATAAATACTTAGAAACAAGTCATAAAAACTTAAGCAAAATGACAAAACTCTCTGCCAAAATGCTAAAAAAAATTATTATTCTAAGTTGCTTACACAGCAACTTACAAAACGCGTTTAGTTTAGAGTTAATGAAAGAAATTACAGGAAAGCAAACAGTAGTTTCAACCTCTTAGCTACAAGCAATAAAAGTTGGAAATAAAATAATTAATGATACTATTGAAATAAACTAAATTTAACAAATTTTTTTTTCACAATAGGAGCAAATTTATCAAACAAAACCCCTTTGACAAATTCTAATTTAACAGATGAACTTCAAACATATTTTTAGACGACACAAACTTGTTTCAGTCACATAAAAATACAACCATACTTTTTAATAATATGAACTGAGAACTTGAAAAAATTACATATTGGTTCAAAAAAAAAGCTATCTTTAAATATTAAAAAAACAAAATGGATACTTTTCTATCCAGCTCTAAAAAACAGGTACTGCCTGTAAATATGTTGGATCTCTTTATCGACAATGTCATCCTTAAAAGTGAAAAAATGACAAAACTTTTAGGGGTTGAACTAAACTATATTGAAGAAAATCTGTCTTAGAGATTACACATCAATAATATTTTTAATAAAGTTGCAAAAAGCATCGGAAACACGCAGCTCGCATAATAAACTTTTATTATTATTTTTATTTTTTATTTGTTATTATTTTTAGGTGCCCCAAGAAGACCTAACGGTCTTGTCACAGAGCACCGCGGAAGTGCATTTAACCAGGAAACTCACGCCTCTTTCCTTACCGTGACGCGAAAATATTTCCAGAGCTCGTTTCGAACCTGGATCTCCTGCTTATAAAGCAAGCGTTTTAACCACTGCGCCGCGGCCGCACTTGTTCGAAACAATTTGAACTCTGAACCGCTTTTTAAAGAAATAAACGCCTTAAATGTTTATCAACTGAATGTGTTTAATGTTTTGTGTTTATGTACCTATGTCCCCCGTTATGTAAACCTTTACAAACCGTCCCCTGTTATGTAAACCTTTACAAAATTAAAACCCAAAACAAAATTAACCTACGCAATAATAGCATTATAAAAAAAACTATTTGCAAAAATAAACAAGCTCAATTTTGTATATCTTGTCTTGGACCTTTTCTCTAGAATAGTACGGCCTAATTTTGTTTTTTTCATCTGAATTGATCTGTTCCTTTTCCAAATAATCTAAATTAAAAATTATTTTTCAACAAAAAATATTCTTGATTTATTTTTACTGTCATATCACAGAGCACCGCGGAATAGCATTTAACCAGGAAGTTCACCCCTCCTTCCTTAACAAACTTGCATTTATGTCTAGAACCGACTTCAAATCACGGACTTTTAATTCTGAAGCCAGAACAAAGACACTATGCTGCTTTTATTTTAATATTTGTTTTAAACTTGTTATTAAAATTTATAGGAGAGAAATTATTGTTGAACATATACATAAAAAGTAAATGCTGAAAAAAAAATTGGGGGAAGTACTATGTACAAACAAAACATTTTTATTACCTGATTGCTAAAAATTATAAATTTTTTTTGAAACTTCTCTAATTTAAATGAGTTTTGATGAATTTTTCTAATTGACATAATTTTTATTATGTTTATTAAATTTGTCGACACGACAAAGTTTATGGAAACCTCGAAGTAATGGTTTCCTTTTTTAACAGATAATTTAAAAGTAAAAATAAAATATCAACGAAGTGCAGAAAAAATGTTACATCTTTCAAAACAAAAAGGTGTCGAAAGAAATCACATCCTTCATTTAATTCAAGATGTGAAAACTCATTGGTACTTCACGTTTCTAATGGTAGAAAGAAAAACTTAAATTAAAATTTCATTTGTTAGAATTTTTACAAACTTACAAAGATTCATATAAATTAAAGAATAAGTCGTTTTTATTATGCGCCCTTTTGGATCCATATTATAAAAGTTTTCAATTCTACGAAAAGTATGAGGAAAAAAAATGATTAAATTGCTTGAAAGAATTTTTGTCTGATTTTTATCTGACAAGGAAAGTTTATCAAATAGTTCCAGTTAAAAAGGTGACAATCGAATCAAAAAAATTTATCATTTTGTCAGACGAGAACCAAAAGGCCGTATATTTTGTGTTTCCAAGATAATCAAGTTTTAAAATTTAATTTGTAAAGACTTTCTGCCAGAATCTCCAACTAATTTTTTAAATATTATTAAAAGTTGAATCATTTTTGAGACTAGATTTATTGGGCACATACTCCATTGATTGTTGAATATTTTTTGATAATAAGCAGAAAAAACACTGAGTATGGTCATACGGCCTCTTGGTTCTCGGCAGACGATTTGACGATAAAGATGATGATTCTGAAAATGATAGTGATAAAAATATAAGTTTAGATTTAAAAAAAGAAATCAGTGATAATTTAAAATTGTTAGTGCATGAGTAAAATGTTTTACGCTTTTGACATCAAAATCAGCATGTGTTTTCAATATTGTATTGTATTTCAACAATGATTTCATGTACATCTGCTACCAGTGCACCAAGTGAACGTCTTTTCTCTGATGCATTAATCAATGTGTTTGCAAAGCAAAACAGAATGACTACTGAATGTTTTAAAATGTTGATGTTTTTGTACGAAAGTTTGAATTTTTCATAGCCATACCACCTTTTTTTCATAGGTTTATCACCTTAACTTAGTTTAAAATTTATTAAATAAAATAGGAAAGTACCTTCTTGTAGTAATTAATTTTAAATTTATTTTATTGTTCGTTAAAAAATATTCTTAAATTTAGTATTTGAATTCTTTTGAGCTATAAACAAATAAGCTAGCTGCAGCTTGAATAAACAGTTATTTCAAAAAACAAATTATACATTTTTTTTTTTTAAACATTATTATATATTTATAACTAATTATATTATAAATTATATTTATAACAAAGAAAAGGGCGGGGCTAGTTAATCAACTTTTACTAAATCTAACAGATCTCCAGAGCGGTACGTAGTATTGTCAGATTTTTTTTTTATTAGAAAGATATTTTAACCTGAGGCCAATGCTAATAACAATACAAAGATTTTATCAGGAAAAATATTTTTTTGTAAAAACGTAATATTTTAAATTAATTATTTTAACGTCAAAAAATGCATAAACTCGCTATAAAACATAAGAAAATATTACGTCATTAAAATGACGAGTTATTTTAATATTTGTTATGGCAACTCTAGGCATTTTTTTACATTTTAGTATTTGCTGCTATAAAAACTGTGTGTAAAATTACAATAGGAGTCATTTATATCAGACGTTATGCAAAAAGGGGGAAGAAGGGGGTTGAAATAAAGGGACACGGGGGAGGAAGGTTTGTCAGAAAAAGACGCCACTTGATAGTTTTTTTTAACTTTAATAACACGGAAAATGTAAACCTGTATTTTTATGAAGTTATCTTTAGAAAGTAGAGTAAAAGTGGATAGAATGAAATAGAGAATATAATGAAATAGTTATGACAATCTTTATCCCTTTTTAAAAAAATTTAATTTGCTATTTTCGGTAAAAAGTTATGAGTTAAAAATGGAAACGGTTAACTATGGGGTTGAATAAAATAAGACATGTATTCGCTTGGTAAATAGGGCTTTTATTAAATAATTATGTTTAAAATAATTATGTTTAAAATTTTTATAAATTTTTTGTTCAACAAATTGATTAGGCAAAAAAAACACACACACACACCAAACTAGTGTGTGTGTTTGAAATGGGAAAACGGGCCTTTTTTTTTTTTTTTACATATTTACCTAATATTTATAAATATAAATGAATTTGTTCATTCTGACAGTTTGAAAAAGCTCCTTTTTTAACTAAAATTAGTTTTTATTGTTTTTACAGAGCTTTGATTGTTCTTGGCCCAATTGCGCTGAATGGGAGAAACAAGCCCTAAAATTTTTATACATTTTCTTGATATTTTTTAATGTAAATGAATTTGTTCACTCTGACTGTTTGAAAAAGCTCTTTTTCTTTTACTAAAGTTAATTTTTAGGTTTTAACAAAGTATCTATTGCTTTTGACTCAATTGCCCTAAATCGGGCAAACGAGCAGTGAGATCCTTACCTAGGGGCCCCAAGTAAGAGAATAATAATTTGTAGAATTTAATGATTTTATTCTTTAGTAAGAAAAAAGCAATAAAAGTTATTCAGTATAAATACTTCAATGAAACTCTCTCATTGATGGTATTTGAAAAATAAATTTATTATCAATATTTAGTTATATAAATCCTTAAGGAAAACTCAACAAATCTTGATGCAAAATAGGCATTATTAAGCCCAATATAAATTGTCATAACTTGGAAACTAATTATCCAAATTTAAAAAACAAACTCATTCTGAAATTGTTTTTACTACTCGCCTACTTTGGTATTAATTATAGCCAGAGATAATTATAATAGTGATTATAACAGATTATAATAGTGATTATAACATAATTATAATAGTGATTATAACAGAGATAGTTATAATTGTGTGAGGTGTCTAATCAAACATCAAGTGGCGACCCCTTCACTTAACAAAGCTGCTCAATCATTCAATTTAACATTAGCAGTAGCTCTTTACAGGCGTGTTAACAACATAGGTGAAACAATTGGCAGTGATTCAAACACAAGATTGTCTTGCGCCACACATTATTTTTATATAAAAAAAATGTCTGTGCAAAAATCAGCGCTTACAGATGGATGAAAGATAAGCAATTTATGCAGTGGCTTACCAGCCTGTACGTTTCAGCCATTAAAAAAGTCCTGATGAATAATTTAGTAATTTGTTAAAAAATTAATTTAATCAAATAAGTATTAAATGAATTAGTCGAATTTTATTTGTCCAATTATTGGCACTCATATTTTAGTCGTAGATGGACACTTGACACAAGTTACCTATCGAGTTGTACTCATTTGTATTGAAAACAATATCTTGTTAATTTACTTACCATATCATTCGTCACATAATCAGCAGACACTAGATGTCGGTGTTTATTGCCACGTCAAAAAAGTTTGATTCAAATGACTTCAAAAGTATAATTCAGAGACAAAGTTTAGGGGGTCAATAACTGCTTAAAAAATGGCGACAAAATGGTGTCAACAAAAGTTTTTAGGCTATCTTACAACAACCTTTTGTTGTTACCATTGCGTCACCATTTTTATATATTATATATACCATTGCGTAACCAACTGTGTTTTTAACTTTTCTGAAACAAATTATCAAGTATTTAATTATTCTGAAAACATATGCAAGTTTTTTCATTATCCAACAGTTAGGTATTATTTAATACATTTTGCATTGTTAGAATTATTCAACAATTTAAAATGCGGATATCAAGCCATCTTTGTAAATTTTGCAAGTATCGGTTATTGACAAATAACTCTTGTCTGAAAGTAATAAATATGTTCACCTAATAACCTATTAACGATTACATTCTGCGTTTATAGTAATACTCTCGTAGTAGTGGGTGGGAGTTAGAGGTAGTGGACACAATAAGTATTTGTAGATTGCGGTTTTGTTATTGGGTTTATTTCGCACCATTGGTAAGGAAGGATGCGTGAACTTGCTATTAAAATGCTTTTCCGCAGTGCTCTGCGACTAGACCATTAGGTCTTCTTGGGCTACCTAAAACTAAAAAATTTAAAAAAAAAATTGTTATTTTGACTAAAAAGTTTAATTTTAGTTAACTAAAGTTAGTCGGCTAATTTTAGTTGACTAACAGGCGTAAATGAGATAGGAGGGCAAAGGGTCAATTATATAAGTAAGGAGACACTAGAATAAAAAAAAAATAACATAAAATGTTGGGTAGGTAGGTTAAAAGAGTAGGTGTTTAGGGAGGGGGATGGTATTCAAAAAAGCGTATAGCAAAATGTTGGGAAGAAGTTCAAAATAAAAGCGTACGTACTTTATGGACGACCCCTTAGTTGACTAAATTTAGTTGGACTAAAACGTTATTCGGCTAATTTTAGTTAGACTAAAACTAACCTTAACTCCACCCATAATGTACAAAATACCACGGATAACAGACATTGCACAAACACAAAGTGTAATGCGTGAAGTAGTAAAAATTAGGTGGAATTATGTTTTTAATTTTGCTTTAAAATTTGCTATTCGCCATCTAGCTTATAAACACGCAACGTTTTAAGGTTCTCTTTAAAAAAACATTTTTTAGTCTACTTTCTTAAAAATATATCTTCATTTTTGAAGACAAATTTTGACAATGAAGTGTCCTAAACTAGTTTTTATTGAATAAGTACAACAGTTAAACAAATTTGGGTTGGTTGGTTGGTTGGTTGGGGCTGCCATAAATGTTTCATTCTCAAGGCTTTATTAAATGAAAAAAATAATGACGTTTGTAAGTCTTGAACAAGAATGTTGACATTTACAAGTTTTCAAACCAAAATGCTCAGTGGCGGATTAAGACTTTTCTAATATTTTCATTATTTATATCTTCTGCTTCATCAATTTTAAGTATTGAATCATTGACTTCATTCTCTAAAATTTTTTGGGGCTCATAAATTTGCGGGGCTCCTAGCCCCTTCCCCCACCTCTTGATCCGGCATTGAAGATGCTTGTTTAATCATTCATCAGTTTTGATGAATGATTATGAGTTTCAATAAATCATTAACAAAAATTGAAAAATCTAATTTGAAAAACATAATAGGTTTTTTCCATAAGTATATATATTTTTTGACACCTGATGACAAACTAAATTTTAACTTACTTGAGTTAAAACTTAGTAAATTGACATGCAAAACTAAAACATGTGTCATTTTGTGGATTGTGTATTTGAACTAGGAAATATACTTCATTATTTTCTACATAACATAGATAATAGGCATTCTATTAACTAACTAAAATTGTTAACATGAGTTAACTTGTCAATAATAATTTCTCGAAGGTGGTTAACTTGCTTTTGCATGACATCAATTTTTATTTTAAGCTCAGCATTACTTTTTTCAAGTTCAGTTGCTTGTATATACAACTCATGATGTCTTTTTTTTCTTTTTGCTCTTGTAAATTTTGAAGCAATATTGTTTTTTCTACGTCTCTCATATATTTTATCAGACAAACATTTGGAATTGGATTTTTCAGAAAAAGATGTAGATGAAGAAATAGAACAGCACTCAGAATAACTTTTTATGTCTTTTTCGCATTTTTCCACAGCCTTTTCACAAGCAAATTGTTTGTAATCATTTTCAAAAGGTAATAAAAAATCCTCCCTATCATTATGTTTGGAAATATTCGTAATATCTTCCACATATAAATAATTTAAATCATTTGTAATTCCCGCTGCATATACTTGATTGTTGAAGTTGTTTGCAGTATTTAAAGATTGCAAATTTTCAAAAAAATAATTTTCAAACAGATTAAGAAAATCTTCACATTCATCATTTGAATGACAACTAATATTTTCATTATTTATATCTTCTGCTTCATCAATTTTAAGTATTGAATCTTGAGCAAAATCATTGACTTCATCATCAAATGCATCATTTAAAATCTGATCTTGTGATTTAAGATTATATATTGTATCAGATAATAAAAATTCATATAAACCATTTTCAACGGGATCTAAAACTGTTTTCTCGTCTTCATAATAGTCCATAACATTGTATGTTTGATTGACAAAGTTTTGAACTTCAGGATCTAAATTGTCCTGATGCAATAAGACATTTAAGTTAAAATTCTCAACTTTGTCATTTGCCTTGTCAACAGCACAAATAAAATTCGAGGAGACACCTAAAAAAAGATTATTTTTTAACTTAATTAAATAATGAATGATAAATGGTTGACAATAGTTAATGATCATAATTTACAAAAAAAAAATTTATACAACCCTCATAATAATAAATGTTTTTAAAACTTTAACTTGTATATATTTAACTTTTTACATTTTTAATTTACATTTATAAGTTAATTTCTTTCATTTTCATTTATACCTTATTATTTCATTTATACCTTTTTCTTTTATTTTATTAATACCTACATAGTTAGTTTTGAAAAATTAATGTTACTACAAAGTTTCTTATTTTAAAATTTACCAATCTAGTACTGGAAGTTTCTTAAGAGTCTCAGATTATTAAAAATTCAGATTATCGAAAAGAGAGAAAAAGTATTTTAAAAAAGTAGAAATTTTTCAAAAAATTTGCACAAGCAAATTAAATACTCATTTAAATTGCAGGTAACACTTTTTAACTCAGTGTTATGTGGATGCAAATGCAAATTAATAATCATGTTATACTCAAACTCTTAATAAAATAACTTTCTAATTTAAAAAATAACTTGAAGTTTCTTAAGGTTTAGGGGCTTCTAGTACTAGTTTCTTGTAAACAATTTTCAAAAAAAAAAATGCATGTGTATATATATATATATATATATATATATATATATATATATATATATATATATATATATATATATATATATATATATATATATATATATATATATATATATATATATACATATATATATATATATATATATATATATATATATATATATATATATATATATATATATATATATATATATATATATATATATATATATATATATATATATAACATTTAAACATTTGTTAAAAAATAATAAAATTAATAGAAAAGAAAAAAAATTTAACATAAAATTTACAATTTCAATATTATTTGAAAACCTCACACTTTTTTTTTCTTTCTATTTAAAATAAATATTTTTAGAATCAGTTTTATTTTGAAAATTACATTTACCTGATTCCTTTGACTTTAAATCATTTGATTGCGAAAAATTGACTTTTAAATCTGAAACACTTGGATAAATATTGTTTTGAATAAGTAAGTTTTTTTCTATTAAGGTTGTCAACAAGTTTGATATAAAATTTTTTTCTAGAGAAAAAGGTACCAAATTTTTTAGCTCTACAACTATTCCCTTTGCACTCTTTAATTCTTCCTTGCCCAAATTGCTTGAAAGATTGATCAATACTGTCTCCTTTCCAATTTTGATTATTTTCAAAAGTGTGATAGACACAAATTTGGTTATATCGCTCCTCCAAGGCATTATGTCTATTGTTAAGTTTATTTGCAGGGGAAAACATTTTGTCTCTTTTGAAACACCAACATTAACCAAAAGACTACATAAATTGTTCTGGTTAAACTTTTGATTTGTTTCTAAAGCTTGAGGATGTAACTGACAACATAGAGAAGTATCGATTGCTAAATTTTCGACTTGAGTCCATTTTAAATTTATTTTTTTAAAACAAAGACAGCAGGTATCCGTAATAAAAAGATTTACTTCTTCACAAAAGCAGATCCAAATGGATCTGGAAAAACTGTAAATCCAAGATTTGTACTACCAATAATTAAATTAATTGCTTATCTAAATAGTATTTGTTATAACTGACTATGACCGTAGTCTTTAATTTATTCAGATTATTCAAAATAAACGTTGTAACTTAACGACAATGTTGATAAAATAATAACCGTTCAATAACTTTATTCAGGAAATATGTTAAGAAAGAAATACTAATGCTAAGTGTTGGTACGATAATTATAACCTAACAACAATGTTGATAAAATAATAACCGTTCAACAACTTTATTTAGGGAATATGCCAAAGAAAAAGATACTTAAGCTAGCGTAGGTGCATATTTGCATATTGCATCATAACAAAACATTGATTCAATAATATTACGTCATTATGATGTAGTATAAATAGTTTATTGCATCATAATGAAATCATTATGATGTATTTATATTACATCATAGTGACATCATTATAATGATGTAATATAATATCGTGTTTAACTCACGTCGAATGATGTAATATAGTTTATTACATCATAGACTTAAGTTAAACACTATTTAAATTTTCTTTTCTAACGAATATCATCGCGAGCATTTCACAATCGCCTAAGTCATGTTTGGGGGTTTTGAGTTAATGGTTGATTTGTATAGTTTACACAGTTTTCAATTATATGACAAATCACCAATATTCAGTGATGGATCCAAGATTTTTTGGGAGGGTGGGGGTGAGATGTTAAAAAATTTTTTGTATTTTGTACCACATTTGCGTCTCCTAAAAAAAAAAAGGTCCTCAATATCTAGGATATTTTAGTACTTTCAGATTCTGGTGGGGGTGGGGTAGATGCATAAACCCCCATTCTCCTACCCCCGTGGAACCTACATCTTAAATAGGGGTGTACTGAACAGAAAATTTAGAATTCTGGCCGGAACCGGATTTGGTGAAATTGTTAAAAAAATTCTGGCCGGAACGAGATTTATACTTATGTAACTTTTTACCTGAATTTGTGACTAAAAAAGAACCCCTTCACCTCAGCATCGTGGCTTCATAATATATATTTATAACCTATATTTTATATATATTTACAATTTATTTTGAACATAAAAATTATAATTTTTATGTTAAAAATTATCATTATCCTGCTGGGATAATGATATTATCCCAGATTTATATTGTGATAATATCATTATCCCAGATTTATATTTGTTGATATTAACTTGCTTTATAACTAAATAATGGATTTTTCTTTTATGCTTGATAAAATAAATATTATTTGATAAAATAATGTATATTTTATCAAGCATAAAAGAAAAATCTATTATATATGTAATTAAAAAGCAAGTTATCATCAACAAATATAAAAGAAACCAAATAATATAAATAATAAGCAAATGTATAAAATCCATTTAAGGAAATAAAACGGAATAGAAACTAGTTAAAATTTTAAAATTCACTTCTTAATCTAAGTCAGAATAGTCATTCAAAGAAGACGTTTGATATGGAAGTCAAAGTAGTCATTCAAAGAAGACGATTGATATGGAAGTCAGAGTAGTCATTGGACATATGGAAGACAGTCTCTCTTTGATATTTATTTATTTTATTTTTTTATTTATTTATTTTTTTCTTCGGTAAAATTTAAATTTACATGTTTAAATGAAATTTAACTACAAAACTGAAAGAGAATAATACCCAATTAAAGGTGCCTTCCTTATTCCCTATAAATCCAGAAATAAATAAAAAGAAACTTTTAAAAACAACACAACCTTTGTTAAAGCACTTTCTAGCTACGTTAAGAGAAGAAAGATTTTTTTTTGTTTGATCCTTAAATGTTTTAACGCTTAAAATCAGATCCGAATCTTTCAATCGATTGATTTCGATTGCAATTTTATTTATTGCTTGTTTTGATAACGCCGAACTCTTTATGTTCAAAAGAGCAATTCTTCTGTTAGTTCTTAGCAATTTTTTCTTTCAAATCATTTGGGTTCTACTTTTAAGGTTTTTACTTGATCCTATTTTATATTACACAGACATTTAATTTTATGATGCCCAATTGCAGATTGTTTCAATTTTTCTTGAAAAACATTTTTTTAATGTTGTTTTGTTCTTGTTGCTATTTTCATTTTTGTTTCACCGATGTATTTTTGTTCACACTCGCATTCTATTAGGTATACTCCGGGATAGCTATTTGATGGTAGTTTTGTTTTGTTGCGCGAAGTTAGTAAAGATTTAAGATTTGCGCTAGATTTAAAGACTGCCCTGTAATCTGCTTTCCTAAAAGTTTTTCGAAGTTTCGGTGATAATACTGGGATACACCGTAGTGATAATGTTGGCATGGTTACTTCGTTGTTAGATAATTATTTGAGTGTCGTTTTTTTATAACAATATTTGCGAGGTCTTGTAATTTTTTCTTTTCGCATCCATTTTCAGCAAACACATTTATTAGGAAATCTATTTCTTTATATTAAAAATTTTTCAGAACAAATTGATAAAGCTCTTTAAATATTCCTTCTAAGATTTTTGTATCGTGATTTGAATTGGGTTTAACCTGAATACTTGTTTTTGCTTTTTTTCGATGTATGTTAAAATCATAATTACCTTTTCGATTATTTGTTATTTAGATGTCTAAAAAATTTACTCTTTTGTTTTGATCCTCCAATACAATTGTGTATTTGATGGCATGATGTGACTGTTTAATACCTATTGAAAACGGGTGGCATTTTCTTTATCTATAAATTTTTCGTGGCTATAAACTTCCGCAAGTATTACCATGAGTGAAAGTCCTATTGGACCTGAATCTACAAGCTCGTAAATTTCT